CTTCAGAACTGGGTCGTTTTAACCACACAAATTCTCCTAAATCACTTGTACACACAGTTTAAGAACAAATACGCAGGGAGCGTACGAACGGTTCTTGCTTGATTTTATGTATAAAAAGTGTATTTTATTAATGTATGAGAAATCCACATTTATTGTTTTTTTAATCCCAGTCAGTGTTCAATACGGCTGGCAAAATCAATTGTGAAAATATTTATGGTGTGCTTCTTTTTAAAATTTAGCATATTAGTTTAAAAAATTCTTCATTTTATGAAAAGACCCTCTTGATTCAATAAAAAAAACTCTGGTTTTTAAGAAAATGGCTGCTTATCAATTAATTGTTAGTCAATCTATAAGATAGATCAACTTCACATTAATCGATAACTTGCATCCCTAATTTATACAAGAATTAAATTGATTTATATCTATTTATATTTATGTAATTAAGTGTTTTAAATTAGACCAATTATGGGTCCTAGAAAATTTTTATGGTATGTCTGTGGGCTATCCAGACCATGTTCATTCAATTTAATGCATAAAATTATTCTCAGATAATAAAATTTCCCATTTTCTAGTTCTGCCTGCTCTGACTTCCGTTCAGAAGAGCTGTTTATGTTAATGAGCTCTGTTGGTAACGCCCTCCAAAAATCTGTTGACATTAACTCCGCCCTCCAAAGCCAGCATTTACGTTAGCATGGCTAATAATAGCAGAAGCTCCGTTGTACAACCAAATGAGACTCAGAGGCAGAGTCGTGGTCCCAGTGTCTTTTTTTTTTTTCTCCACCTCCTCTGCTCTGCGCTCACTCTGCATGCTGTTACCAGAGCAGGGAGCAGCAGCGGTCAAAATACCTCAGAAACTCGAACAAATAGGCTTTAACAAGGCTTTAATAAGCTAAACAATAGAGGTACATGAGAAAACGTGTTCATAACGAATGAAAATAAATAATTAAATTGTGTCCGTGATGGTCTCGAACCCTGGTCTCCCACTCTCTGGTCCAACACTCTCTGGTCTCCCACTCTCTGGTCCAACACTCTCTGGTCCAACACTCTCTGGTCCAACACTCTCTGGTCCAACACTCTCTGGTCCAACACTCTCTGGTCCAACACTCTCTGGTCCAACACTCTCTGGTCCAACACTCTCTGGTCCAACACTCTACCCATTGCCCTGTTGGAGGCTTGTTGTGAAGTGAGCAGCACATTGCACAACAACAACCGGGACGGCTTTTTATACTGAGGAGGAGGAGATTCACCCGGGGGTTGCTAGGTAAGGGGCTGAATGCAGGTTCTGGTGGGTTGTTGTACGGCTTGTGACATCACAAAATAACGGAAGTATAAAACTTGTCATTAATATACATTAAAAATACATTTACTTACAGTAAATATGCCCCTGGGTACATTTTTTTGGTCCTAGGACTGTTTTTTTAAGGAGTACATACCCAAAGTTGAGTAAAAAAACCTTTAAAAAGTGAATTTTGCATAACAGGTCCCCTTTAATGATTTGGCCGATTAATAGAAAAAATAATCGACAGATGAATCGATTGTTAAAATAATTGTTAGTTGCTGCCCTAGTTGTGTTGGTGTAGAAGCTGAAGCAACAAGGGGAGCCGTAGATCTGTTTAAATCTAGCAGAAGAGTTCATCTGGAGTGTTGATTTCCATCAGCAGAGTTGGTATTAAATCTACTGAAAAAGGACCGCTTTGCTTTTAAAGCAGGGAGGATAAACTCTCTCTCCCTTCTCTGACGTCAGAGTTAAAGGAAAACATGGGACGTATCAGGTTTTAGAGGACTTGGCAGGACGTCAGGCCCTGAACTGGGAGCCTGAGCTCCGGTCTCCACGAGCGCCCGTCGTATCGACACGATCAACAACTCTGTGCCCGAGCGTTCGTTCCAACCAGACAAACAAGGATACGTTATTACCACGGATTAATGTTGTGTTTATTAAAGCTCCTCTAAAAACAGAGGCTTTACGAGCAGCAGAGTAACAGAACACCGAGGCCCTGAAGATACTCCAAACAGCTGAAACGACGGACACGAATTAAAACAAACTGAGTCCGACAGCATCTAATGAAGAAACATGAGACCATCATGAGAGGCACTGAAACCACTTCATATCGTCCAGACTGATTCCATTACTGACCACAGGAAACAAGTTATCACTATTACTGGAAAACTGTCCACAAGTTGTTTTTTTCTATTCCTGTTCGATTGTTTGGTTAAAGTCACGCTCTTAACAGAAAATCATTGTATCATACTTTCAAAGCAGCGGACAATCATGTTTACTGTTTGTCTTGTAGTAAAATACTTCATGAAATATGCAGTTTAATTTTACAGATTTTAAGCTGGAATCTGGTGTGGTAGTAGCTGAGACTCATCCCAGCACACACCCTGTCAATGTAAAATTAAAACATAAGTAGATTAACTTTATCATGCAAGCAAGCAGGCGATATTTAGTCCTTCAAGGAGTTCTGGTTTCATTAAATCAATTTTTAAATGAATTTTCTGGTGTGCAGATTAGTTTTCTTGCATGACCCAACTTGTGTCAACCTTCACAATGTTTTCATTGTCTCAAAAGAGAAAAAAAAAACACAGAAAGGTGTTTTTCTCTGACAACCTTCTGAAAAAGGCCACACTTGTTCAGTCTCTTTAATTGTGCACCTAAAGCATTTAGTCTTAGTTTGGATCCTGTCAGTACTACATGGCTACAAATCATAAAATGTATAGGTTTACAATTTTTTTTTCTTTCACTGTGTTGTACATTCCCCACTGAGATTTAACTGTTTCTCTTTAGAAGATGTTTCACAAAATTCACAACAAATCTGCATTGTTTTATGGCAGCATGTATGATTGAAGTAATGCGGCTTTCCTCCATGTTTTATCAGTCGATTCTGTTTCTGTTTCGAACAATATTTTGAGAGGAACGAGAGGCTGAAGACCGTCATCTGTAGCTTAGATGTAAAATGGCTCTGCAGTGATTTGGAGCTGCAGAACAGTCTGTTCAAAATGACCACACGTCCTAAACGATGATGTAACACATTGACTAACAGTAGAACTTCAGTTGTTTGTCCTCTTTTCTCTTCAGAACACGTCAACCTTCTCCTTGGAAAGGGACGAAGCGGGCGAGGTGGTGCTGGAGGATGGGCGCAGCCGCTGTCCTTTTAACCCAGAATACAAGTCCACTGCCATCATAGTGGGTACGTAACAACACACACGTTAGCTATGAAAGGGTGGGACGATGTTTGTTTGTTTCTGACTTTAGATGTTGGTTTTATTTGCAGATGGAGAGTTGTACACCGGTACCGTCAGTAACTTCCAGGGGAACGAGCCGGTCATTTACAAAAGTCTGGGTCAGGGAACGGCTCTGAAAACTGAGAACTCTTTAAAATGGCTGCAAGGTAAACTCTGTGTTTTCACGTATCTTCCGTTATGTAACGACCTGCGGCAGATAAGCTCTGACCAGGTGGCTGTCATTAGTGAGGAGATACGCTCAGACCGAGAGCTGAGACAAGCCCTCGCAGATTGCAGGAACTATCAGCAGCCACACATGACAAACCGCCTCAGCCAGCCGCCACCGCGCGCTCTCGCCAGCGTAAGCTGCACAATTAGGACCGCTCTTGTCTTTTGATCTCCTGGTAATTCATGCAGAGTGGTCCTGATGAGACATCTGAGTGCAATTATAAAGAGAATCCTGTTTCCTCCAGTTTCTTAGGATTATGTAACAGGGCTATCGGACTTCACTCCAGGTTTATGACAAAGAAAATATTAAAAACTGCTGTTTGTCAACGACAGCCTGACCTGATGTGTCAAATCTCCGTTAGCACCCAGGCGCTAACCCTACGAAGCCGTGCTGATGTAATACAATCAGTTTGTGGTTCAGCATCGTCTTGCTGAAATGTGCAAAACCTATGAAAATGACGTCATCTGGAATTGGAGCATTATGTTCTTTTAGAACCTGTACATTCTTGTCTGCATTGATGGTGCCTCTCCAGATGTGTAAGCTGCCATAGCCACTAATGCACCCCTATACTATCAGAGAGGCAGGGTTTTGAATTGGGCCATGACAGGCCGGATGGTCCCGCTCTTCTTTGGTGTGGTGGTATGGCATTCATGGTCTTGATCCCAGAGAGTACAATTACCATATTTATTCGAGTATAATACGTAAAATTTAATCCATAAAATCATGCACAAAGTTGTGGGGTAGTACTATACTTGGATAAATATTTTTACTGATGTATTTTAACTGAAATATCGGCCTCATTCACAAAATCCATGAGTCCGGAAATTAAACCATGTTGTAAAAAGCAGTTGAAGCGAGCTTACCTCTAAAACCCCTTCGTGCCTCTGAGCGAGATAGTAACAGATCCAAGCTGGCAACATGATGTGAAAAAAAAAGAAAAAAAATGCAGTCCTGCAGCTAAGTAATGATAACCAACTAATGGCGTTAATGTGCGACCGGGCCGCTCCTGGAACAACAAACACATCGGCTGTAATGGCTGCCGTCTACCGATGTTCTGTAAAAGTTGGTATACATGAAAAAAGTTTCCCCACCAGAGGGGGCGCTCACGAGACACAGAGGATGAGATTGTTGAGTGGGATTCTGATGCCTTTATTACAGAGGAGGAATACCAGAAACTTTTAATGATACTGATGATGGTGAGCCTGATTTTGAAGGCTTTGATTCAGCTTCATCCACACTTGTTAGAGCCACATAGCTCTGTTTGTTATATCACACCAGTTAACAAATGAACATTTGATAGTTTTTGTTGTAGTTATACATTTGTTGTTGTGTACCTTTTAGTACATATGTTGTTAAAATAAAATTAAAAACTGATACAACAGTCAAATGATAATTTTACTGATACAGTATATATAAAGACTGCAAAGGCTGAAAAATCCTGAAGTCCATATGAAATTAGTAGGGGTGCAACGATAC